GTTTTAATCACCTTCACTTATTTTTTAAAATATGGATACCAGGGGAAAAAAGTATAAATGTGGCATCTATCATATTCCTATCGGGTGAATGCTGTTATAAAGCCTGGTTACTCAAAGTATGATCCATGGACTAGCAGCATATAAAAAAAATCATATGACTATGCTCTGCTAGAAATTTGGAATCGTAAGCTCTCCCAGACCTACAGAAACAGCATCCCCATGCCAATCAGATCTCCCAGGTATATTTCACAGAAGCACTCTAAAGAGCTGTGCTTCTTCAACTACTTAAAATAACTGGATTTTCTTTTCTTTTTAAAGTTTTTGAGAATTTCATATATGAGTACTCCTTTTCTACCTCTCTTTCTCCCCCTCCAATGCCTCCTACATTGCTCCCCTCCCTCTCAACTTCTTGTCCTTTTCTGTTTGTGTCTATGTATTTAGGGATGACCGGTTAGGAAAGGATAACCTATCAGGGAGTTCATCCCTGGAGAAAACTGATCCCCTCTCAGCATCCACTGACTGCCTGTAGATCTTCATCTAGAGGTGGGACCTTGTGAAATTTCCCCCATCTACATTGGCATGTGGACTGACGTTGTCATTATGCAGGTCTTGCTTAGGCAACCATATTTTGGGGATTTCAGGGATGCAGCTTTCCTGTCGTGTCTAACAAAACGTTTTCTAACAGTGGGCATCCTGGTTCCCTAGCTCTTACAATGGCTCTCTGTCTGCTCTCTCTTCCTCAATGTTTCCTGAGCCTTAGGTATAGTGGTTGCATTGTAAATGTATCACTTGGGGCTACATAACACACTGTCATTTATTCTCTACATTTTGATCTGTTGTGGAACTTTGCAATAGTCTCCGTCTGTTGCAAAAAGAAGCTTCTTTAATGAGTGGTGAGAGCTGCACATATCTGTGGATAACAGGATATGTATTTAGAATACAGAAGAAATTAGATTGGTTTAGGAACATGGCAGTAGTAGGTTCTCCTCTATGGTCTATGACCTCCCAACCATGTGTACCTGGCTATGTTTACAGTATCAAGCATGAATTCCCTCCTATTGAGCAGGCTTCTTAAGCCCAATTAGATAGCTGTTGACTACCCTCAAAGCAAGTGTTACTAGTGTACCAATAGAGAAATTTTGTTGGGCAGGTTGTTGTAGCTCCTGCTTTACAGCTGGGTAAGACTTGATTGCTTTTCTCCCTTGGCAGCTTGCATAGCACCTTCCAATACAGTGAGAGCTAGTCCTCAAGAAGGAGGCTTCGATGTCATTTCTAGCTCAATTTCTCAAAGTCCTGTGTCAGAAGTATATAATGCCTTCAGCATTAGGGTCCTTAACTTCAAGTTCTTGAAGGCAACCAAAGGCTATGGCAGTGGTCTATATATTTTGGAAGTTTCTTGGACTACTTTGACCAAGAACTCAAGTTTTTGGTTTCCCTTGCCTGGCTTTGGTCTTTTTGTTAGATAGTCTTCAGCAATGTACGTTCACTCATGTATATATTACATGGGTACTTTTAAGTAAGCTTATGCAATAACATTTTTCCATGGTTTTTCAAACATCTTTAGTATTTTTATCCCTCCTTCCTCCCTCTCTTCCTGTATTAGCCTCCCTCACACCCTCCTCAGCTAAAGTCGCCCCCATTTTTTCCATTTCCTCCTTGATAGGACCTGATGCCCCACTAGTCCCCTCTCTCAAGCTCCTCCCCTCTTCCCCTATCATTCCTTTCTACTTAGCTGGCTTCTGCAGTTACTTCAGACTATACATTCATATTTAAAGATCCAGAAGTAGAATCTGCAAATGACAGAGAACATATGGCATTTGTTTATCTGGGTCAGGATTACTTCCTTCACTTTGTTACCTACCTGCCTCCCACTTCCATCCATTTACCTGCAAGTTTCATGATTTCTTTTTTTCTTTACAGCTGAACACAACTCCGTTATGTATATGTATCACATTTTCATTATCCTAACTATTGTGAAAAGAGAAAAAATAAATATGGCTGAGCAAGTACCTCTGTAGTAGAACATCAAGTCTTTGGAACATATGCCAAGGACTCATATAGCTGGTCATATGGTGGTTCTATTTTTAGTCTTTTTAGAATTTTCCACACTGACTTCCATAGTGGTTATACCAGAATAACTGGATTTTAATTGTTTTCAAATTTTTATTTATTTTGGGGTGTGAATGGGTGTATTGCTTGCATGTATGTAAGTTCACCTGTGTCATGCAATACCCGTACATGTCAGAAGAAGGCATCAGATTCCCCTGGAACTGAAGTTACAGACAGTTGTTATCTGCCATGTGGGTGCTGGGAATCAAACCCGGTCCTCTGTAAGAGCAGCCAGTGCTCTTAACTGCTGAGCCATCTCTCCAGCCCCATGGATTTTCTCATTTTATAGTTAATTATATATTATTGCTTTTCATGTATACTAAAAATAAACTTTTAGGAAAAAATTAAAATAAAAATATAATAAATTCTAATTTTTGAGTTAGAAGTCATAAAATTAATTTAAATAAATGTCACTAAATATATAACAATTACAAAAATAGACACAATGGTCTTTGAAAGCATACATATAAATAATAAGCAATAGCAATTCTCTACTACACTTGTAACTTTGGGCCAAAGAAAACATTTTGTTTGAAATAGCTTTCCCCATCTTAAATATCTATAGGCATACTTTGACAATACATTGTTTATACTAATGTCTAAAAGTGCTTGTTTTGGTCATTTTGTTTCTGGTCCTAGGAATGGCATCCAAGGTCTTAAGCATGACAGACAAATGTGCTACCACCAATACACACCCAACCCAATATCTGAATTTTTGTTGTACCAGTTGTGCTTGGTTCTGGCCTATCAAAGTTTCTAATGTAGGGTCCATCATGACACTGCTCTTTATAGAGTATAAAGTAAATGAAACTATTCCTAAGTATTGCTTAGTAGTACTCAAAGTAGAGAAACAAAATTCACAAAGATATATTGATTGAAATGGAAGCTTTTAAAAGGAGTGTCAGCAGTTCAAGGTATTCTGTTTTTTAAAAAACTGCTATTCAAAGTGAAGCAAAGGGTGATCTTCTTTAAGGGAGGGATTCTAGATAGGCAGAGTGAGGAACATCAGGAGACACTAACTTGACTTGCTAGGCCTTAACATAAATAACAGAATTCATGAAATCCAGTGGGGGGAGGTTGTGGGAGGTTACAAATGAGAGGGGGTACAAAGATGATTAAGATGTGCATGAAATGCACAAAAACTCAATAAAAAAAACTCAGAGAAAAAATTTTTTATCTTCAATACTTTATTAGTAGGCAGTTCAAAAAATTTATCCTATAAGGTTATAATTAAATATAAAGTATCTTACAATGAAATAAAATGATTCCAGACTTTATGCATTTGTGGATGACTATGCTTAAAACATCATGCATTGTAATAGAGTTCTACTGCATGTTGGTGCCCAGCTCAAGTTCCATGTGAATCATGACACAAGTTAGACAAAACCAAAACCAAGATTAATCTGTGTCCTGTACAACAGAAGGAGACCATATTCTTGAATATTAAGCAGTGTCAAATTAAACTATAGATGTTTCTAAGGTGCTCTTAATGATATCTGTATTTATCTTAGCATAGACTAATAACTAGTTCATACTGGTACTGTTCCACTCTGCAGACTGCATTTGATCAGCACTGCTTCAGGTATTCCAACAGAATAAAAGATCAAGATTTAAACAGACATCTTTCTCAGAAACCTTTCAACTTCTGGTATGTTAGCTGTATTCTGTAAAGTAAAGCTGTCAGAAAAGGGATCACATATAAGCAGGTTACAGGCAACTCATATCAATTTATGTGACCAGTTGCATTATTTTAACTAGTAACATTTAATCATATTTAATTGCATTCCTTAAGATTGCTATATATTTCATACAGATCTAGATTCACATAGTTTAGGGGAGCTGAGTAAGCCCTATGCAGACATGAGCTTTGTGTTCATGTTTCCACTTGTTCACATAAATAAAATAACTTTTTTTATTGTAAAAAGAAATTGTGTATATCTAACATCATGAATAATTTAAAACACTAAAAACTTTCTCATTGAAATCAGAAGCACAATCCCACATAATGCTACACAAGAAACAGAAGCAATGGATTACTAAAACCCATCATTCAGAAGATATTGATGCTACTAATTATTTGAGTCAAAACTGGAGGCAAAAAATTGGTCAGTGTATGCCATGACAATAGTTGTTCAGTCTGACTTTGGCCTGCTTCTCCCAGCCCATAAATCAAATTGGTTTCATAATCCTGTGCAATCTATCTAACTCCATCTCACAAATGCCAACTCTCTAGGTTCCAGCTAACATTTTCTCTGCTCAGGTCTTCATTACCAACCAAGCAAGTTTGTGTTTGGGGTTCTTAACTAGACACAGAGAGAGAGAGAGAGAGAGAGAGAGAGAGAGAGAGAGAGAGAGTGAGAGGGGGCTTTTTAATACTTTTATAGAGACAAAATTGTCTTTTCAAAGTTTAATACGAATCACTTCTATATTCAAACCATTCAATGGGCTTGCCATGAACTTCCTATAAAAATCCAAAACCTTTAATTTTGAATATAAAGCCTTCGTAATCTGAGTTCTGTTTCTCCACATCATTCTAAGAATACATCATGAAATCAAAGTACCTAGCAACTGTTCATTATCCAGAAGCTGCTTTCAGGCTTCTGTCTACGTATTTCTATATTCTCCTGCACTTTGCAGTGATAATGCATGATTATAGACAGGTGAACTCATCCAAGGTTTATTTGCTGCCATGTCATGATTAAAATCATGGTTCTGGTCAGGCAGTTTACACTGGCAGAATAGCTAATTCTATTTAAAAAGTGGCATTTAGCATATGTTATGTGTCTCACCTCAAACTCAATGTTTGAGATTTTGAAAACCTTAACATTCACTCTGTGTGTGTGTGTGTGTGTGTGTGTGTGTGTGTTCATGAGTATGCACTGTTTGTACAGGAACACGTGGAAGAAGGTAGAGCCAGTCTCTACAAGTCTGTGGTTTCTAACAGCAGCAAGGAGATGTCTTGTTACTCAGATTTTCCATTCCCAGAAGACTATCCAAACTTTGTACCAAATTCTCTATTCCTGGAATATCTCAAACTGTATGCAAAGCGGTTCGACCTTCTGAAGTGCATTCAATTCAAGGTAAGATGTGAACATCAATTAGCAGTCAGGAAATATTCCTTTTCTTATCTCTGTTACATCTCTGTAGCATAACCCTGTTCTCTGTGGGTGAGGTATTGAACTGGTAATATTGATGAAGCCCTTTTCACAAGATACAATTGATGACACAAATTTAGAAGCCTAGTAGGCACTTTGAGTATTATAAGCCAAACAGTGAGGCAGGTGGAAGGACTTAAGAAACACATCTTAGAAAGTTTTGAAAAGGAAAGAAAGGCAGAAAACATCTTGGTTAATGAGAAATTTTTGCTTTGACCTCTATTAAATTTATTGTAAATATCTTGGGTTTCACAAGATACAATTGATGACACAAATTTAGAAGCCTAGTAGGCACTTTGAGTATTATAAGCCAAACAGTGAGGCAGGTGGAAGGACTTAAGAAACACATCTTAGAAAGTTTTGAAAAGGAAAGAAAGGCAGAAAACATCTTGGTTAATGAGAAATTTTTGCTTTGACCTCTATTAAATTTATTGTAAATATCTTGGGACTAGAAGTACAGTGCTTACACTGCATGTGTAAAGACCTAGTTTTGATCCCCAGCATCCCAGAAAGAAAGAAAGAATAGGGGATATTAAGATGCATTATATGAAATACAAAAAAATCAATAAAGTATGTATTGTAAAAGGAGGAAGGAAGGAAGGAAGGAAGGAAGGAATTTCCTAAATCAGAACCTAATACTCATGTATTCAATGAGAGAGAGAAAAATAGACTATTTGAACTTTGGCCTACTCCCAAATAATTCAGGCCATAAAGTTGACAAAAGGTCTCTAAATCTGGAGGAACTTTAGCAACATTTTCTCTAAGACTTTTCATAAACAAGATACCTAAGACCAAATTTTTGTTTTCAAAGTTATACAATCCTTGCCTCTATTAAAGGAGCTATTATTAAAGAGAGAACTCTGAAAAATAAGATTACATAATATAAAGAAAAGTCTTCAAAACTCATTAGAACCCTGGGTCATAAGCTCAGTTCTCTCATTCTCTGTGAGAATTTGAGAAAATCACTGAAAATCTTTAGGTTCCACCACTTTTCCAAACTTAAAAGACTTCCATCCAATAAATCATACTTGACTTAATAGCCTGGTTGGGATTCTAGGATTGTTTATTGAACATGTTTAGTCTCTGCTTTGGAGCTTTTGAAATGTCCATTCACCTATCAGCCACCAAGTCCTTAAAGAAAACTTGAAAACTACTATCATGTCTGTGATTTCATTCTTCCTTTCAGACCAAAGTCTGCAGTGTAACAAAACGCCCAGATTTTGCCAGCTCTGGCCAATGGGAAGTGGTCACTCTGCATGAAGGGAAACAAAACTCAGCCATCTTTGATGCCGTCATGGTCTGCACTGGTTTTCTGACCAACCCTCACTTGCCCCTGGATTCCTTTCCAGGTACAGTATTGTCTGCACATAACTCAAATTGTCTTAAGGAACCCTTTAAATAGTTAAGCCTGTGGGATAACAGCGTATTGTTTCCTAACCAGAATTTTTCTAGCCAGTTTTTGGCTTTCAAAGAATGTATAAATGCAGAAGAGAACAGAGAACAATGTAAGCAGTTTTATGCTTCACTGAGGTTCAATGTCCCTCCTTAAGTTGCAGGCAGTACTTAGTCTTCTGAAACATGGGATGCTCAGACAAGTTGTTCACCTCAACAGCTGCTGCACATTGCCAAATTTAAGTTCGAAGGACAGAAATGTCAGTCTATGAAGAGTGGAAGGAGAAATCTGATTTTTGTTTGTTGCTTGCTTGCTTGGTCTCCTTAATATGGGCCTATAGGTAGCCAAACAAGAGGCTTCTAGTCAAAAGGGAAATTAATCTTAGGATGCAAGTTAAGACATCTTTAGGGTTCAGTTTCTTTACCTGACTTTTGTAACTAAGATTCATGTTAATCTATGCCAAATTTCAGTTCAATATCAACTCAAGGAAATAGAAAATTCAGTGGTTTGAATATGAAAATGAATTAGTTTATTTCACCTGCAGAAAGCTTTTAAAAGTTAGGAGAAGAGGGGCTGGAGAGATAGCTCAGTAGTTAAGAGCACTGACTGCTCTTGCAGAGGACCCAGATTCGATTCCCAGCACCCACATGGTGGCTATGAATCGTCCTTAACTCCAGTTCCAGGGGAATCCGAAGCCCTCTTCTGACCTCTGTGGCATTGCATGACACGGGTGCACTCACATACATGCAGGCAATACACTCATGCCCATAAAATAAAAATAATAAATATTTTTAAAAGGACAAGAAAGTTGTTCTACAAACCATTTAGATATAACTTGAAGTGATCTCAAGATTCATCTTCACATTAAACTCATGTGCCTCAGTGAACCTGAATCTGTCCCAGAGCTCAGTCAAGTCAGTTCAGATCAGGATAAAGTATATCCTGAAAACTGTCCTACAACAGGGCTGGAGGGATGGCTCAGCAGTTAAGAGCACTCGCTGTTCTTGCAGATGGCCCACGTTCAATTCCCAGTACCTACATGGCAGCCAAAAACTGTCAGTAACTCCAGTTCCAGGGGAATTTGATGCTCTCTTCCAATCACCACAGGCATTGCATGACATGGGTGCACTTAGATACATGCAGGCAATACACTCAGTCACATAAAATAAAAATAAATAAATAAAATGTATATTTTTTAAAACTGTCCTACAACAGAATCATGTAATTAAGAAGAACCGAGTCCAGACTTCTTCCCAATGCAAGAAACTGATCTTTAGGAACTCCAAACCTGAGATAGAGAGATGGCTCAGCAGATAAAAGCACCTGCTGACCAGCCTGACCATCTGAGTTTGATCCCCAGATCCTACATGGTAGAAAGCAAGAAGTGACCCACAACTTGTTCTCTGATCTCTACACACATGCAGTGGTACCTGTGTGCTCTCATACATATACACACCACACACAATAAAACATAATTAAAAATTTTTAAGGCTCCCCCAAGCCTCTGACTGAACACATTCCGTGATAGGCTTTCATCAGCCCTCAAGGCAACACAATACTGTGAGTTCTTCCCTACACCTCAGAGCCTTGAGAAGCCAGTCACTCCAGTCTCTCCTAAGGAAACTCCTGATATAGTGTCATCTCTATACTTTAAAATAAACTCCATACTTTAAAAGAAACTGCATCTATTCAGCTCTCACAGTATTACACTAGGTGCTGGTAACACAGAAGTGGATACAGCATAGAGCCTGCATTAGAGACATGACTACAGTTTCCTAGGAGACCAGTGGAGGAATCACAGTCTACATACGGCCCAGAGTGGTACTAGTATGTTCAACAAACTCATGGGCCTGTCATGGTACTGGACCTGCCCTAGAAGGCATATGAGAAGTCATGTCAGATCAGGATAAAGCACACTATGAATGCTTGCAAGCCAGTGTGCAGTTTGAACAGGGTGGGCTGGAGTCTAGAAGGCATAAACTCTAGCTACATGGGTAACTACCTTATAATCTTTGGTCTCCTCCTTCACTTTTCTAAGCCTCTGGGGGGATTTCCCAACAAATTGAGGAATGTGTATCACTTTAACCAATGACGTATCATAAATCCAATGGAGAGGGCTGTGTGAAACCTGCAGTCCTTCTCAGTGTCCGTCTTATCAGGCACTACTTGGTTGTCAAGGAGCTTCTGAGCTCTAAGACTCTGTGATTATGACTTTAAATGGAACCCTCCCAATCCCAGTTACAGCAGGCTTTCTTGGAGTGGTTGTGAACCATGACAGAAATATAAATTCGGTGAAGATGTTTAAAACACATATCACAACTTATGAAATCTCAAAGGAGTTCCTCCAAAAAGTCTTCATAAAAATGAGTATCACAGTTAGAGTAAATGTGTAACTTCCCCCAAATGACTAGTTTTATTTAGCTAAGTACATTCTGGGATTTGTTACCACAGTGTATTTACCTACGGGAAATTCTTACTCTGTCTTGTGAGCTAAGCAAGGAAACTACTAGTCCATAGGACTCTGCCACAAAGTTTCATTTTGTCCATTTATAGCCCAAAATAGCACGAGCCAGAGAGATTCTAAGGCAACCTAAGGATCTAGAGATTATTCTGTGATTCTTCTTGGGCTTTCTTAGCTTTCCTTCCTCAACAACTCTCTGAACTACACAGCATTCCTGAACTGAGTTAAAATTTGAACCTGGTTACGCTCATACCAAAATCTAAATGCTTTTGACTGTAGCTAGATTTTGATCAGGATCCATGCTAGATTCCTAATGATTCGGGGTGAATTAAAGAGCCACAGGTTTTAGGATGATCACTTCCCGCAAGCACATGCATTTATTCTGAGAACTTATCACTTTTTCTTCAAAATCCAGGGTCTTTGCTCAGCACATATTACTTCTGATTGTGTAGCATGGACTTGAGAGGATTCTCAAAAAGCTTTCTGTTTGCATTTGGTGTCTCAATGGGATCTGGCATCACCTTCCTGAGATACGTAGTAAGCTGAGATGTAATCCTCATGTGACTCACATAACCCTTTTTTCTCTGAGTCAGCTCTGTCTGACTCAGCAAACTCTGAATGAGCTGCAGTCACCAAAATGGACATCTTCAAATTTCTCCAACTTGTATGGACCTTTGTGAATGCGGACCATGGTTCATTGACCCATATCATCTAGCACAATTACTGGCACGTAGTCAAAGTCCCCCGAAAGTGTGTTGAATAAAGACTATGATTCACATTTCTCTTCAACATCTTTCTCTTGCTTCTTGTTTGTGAAAAAGCTGCATAACTTGAATAAATACAGTATTAGTAAATAGAATACTATCATCCCATTGACTTCCATCAACCTTAAGATGGTAATAACTCCTGACACTTTTGTTTATGTCTTATGTATGCCACAATACTTCAGCTCAATAGTTAATTATTTGGTAAGTAAAATAAGAGGTGAGATAAGTACCACCCTTTGCCCATAATTTCATGAAGTGATTAAATAAAAAATTGCCTGCTAACATTTTGTACATTTGGATATTAGTATTTCAGATTTCCTCAAACTTGAGTATCCTAGTATTAATAAGTAAACTAAATCATCTTTCAGGATGTCATCAAGTGAAAAATATACTTCATTCGCTAATTCTATACATTCTTTACTTGATTTTGTTTTTTCTATAGGTATAAATAAATTTAAAGGCCAGTACTTTCATAGCCGACAGTACAAACACCCAGACATATTTAAAGACAAGCAAGTCCTTGTGGTTGGCATGGGAAATTCTGGCACAGACATAGCAGTGGAGGCCAGCCACTTGGCAAAGAAGGTATCACTCTCAAGGTTACTTAATAAAAGCTTCATCTTTATATGTATATCTCAAGCAAACAGTGTTTGACACCATGCTTAATGCTAAACAAACGATACTTCCTTTATTTTTTTGAGACAAGGTCTTGGTATGCAGCCCCAGCTAACCAGAACTTTGTGTGTAGACCAGGCTGGCTTGAACTTGTGACAATCCTGCTACTCCCCAATTGTTGGGATTACAGGCATTTTCTACCAGATCCAGAGAACAAAAGATTTTTTAAGTAGTTTTCATTTTTAGTTTTTAGTTTTGTTTTGAGACAGGGTCTCATGTAGCCCAGACTAGCCTGGAACTTTCTGTGTAGGTGAGGATGGATTTGAACAGCTGTTCTTCTTGTCACCCACGTGCTATAATTACAGGCATTCACCAGCATGCCCTGTTGAGTGCTTTTACAGAGGATCATGTGCTTTACGATGAATTCCAATAGTCATCTTTCCTCCAAAACTAACTTATCTGACTTCTTATTTTTATCCTTTTTCTTATCATCCAACAAGACACACTTCTTCATTACTCAGACCCATAGGTCATCTAGCTATGGTGATTTTTCCTTGCCAAAGTCTATCATTTACCTTCCCTCTCTTTAGTTACTGCCCAAGCAAAGGCATCCTATATCACACTGAGCAGCTGCATTGTCCTCCCGACAATAACTGTAGAAACCGTTATTATTTATTGGGATTACTCTTTGCCAAGCATTGTACCAGATTTTTCCTGCTGCGTTACTTTAATCATCAGTACATTCAGTGAAGTATGCTGTTAGTATCTGTGACTACAGATCAGTAAACACGGAACTAAATCATACCATTAGCTGGTGGTAGAACAAGTCTTCAAACTCCAGTCTCACTGACTCAAAACCCTTGCTCCTAACTCTACCCTTCATCCTGACACTCCTTCCCACAGTCCATTCTCCCACTCTCAACAGTTCATACTGATGTCATACCGCCAACAAATATGTCCTCTGAAAAGCCCACTTTCGCATGACACCCTTGGTTTGAAAAATGAACTCCCTTTCCCTGAAAGAAACAACAAACAGTAGCTCCACTAGCCCTGCATCCTAGAGCTTGTCATAATCTGGTTCAAATCTGCCATTTTCACCCTTACTGAGCAACTGCAATCCTCAGCCTCCGCCTGCTGGGCTGCTCTAGCCCTGTCCACTTCCTTGTCTTTGTGTTTCCTTTGTCCACAACACCCCCCTCCTTTCTGCAGTGACATTTCCCTTCTATCATAATCTACATTCTCATTCGGTACAGAGTGATCGCTCCTTGTTTAGGATTTATGCATTAGTATAATTTACACTCCTCCTTGGTTGACACTTTTAATTCTTAACATTGCTAACTTCCTGCTCTGTATGTTCTGGTGGGCTATATCAGGCACAAACACAACAAGATCAAGATCTGCTCTAATGGAGCATAAAATTGTAAAGGAAAAATAGATGTCAAATAAATAAGTGAAAAACTGTGAAGAAAGAGAATTGGGGATAGATAACTTTAAATTTCCCTTCTGGGACTTTAGAAGAAGAACTTGATTGGTTCAATCACTGAAAGACTGGTTAACTGATTTGTAGAAACAGAAATTGGAAGCCTTGCCCTGAAAAAGAAGAAAGGAATAACAAAACAAAAATCAGCACAGGTCCAACCAATATAGTCAGCACATGTGGGCCATGTATTGTTATTTCTCCTTCTCTAGTAATTTGGGAATTCCTTTTATCAGAAAATGTGCTTTGGCATTATCTTGTCATTTCTGTATTAACAAAGACATGTCCCCTTGGCTTGGAGAATAATTCAGTTCTACCAAAATGTCTGATTCTGCATCATGACAGAGAGGCAGTGTCAGTGCAAACAGCTCACATCAGAGCCACTGATGGGCCTGAAGCTTTTATATTTCCAGTGCTTGTATGCTACTCAGTGATGTTATAAGGTCACATAAAAATATTGATACTGACTGTGGCCTTTGTGCCTCACTTTGGTGGAAGAAAAACCAATCTGTTCAGTTAATTGTATCAGCAAAGTAACAGATTGGTTAGCTAAATGTTTCCATTTTTGAACAGTTATCAAAGCAATTCTTTACCTGTATAGATACCAAAACAACTATTAGCTTAGTGAACTCAAACAGCTGATAAACTCAAACAGCCTCTATGGCTAAAAAAGAAAAAGGAAGAAAGGAGGGAAGGAGAGAAGA